TGGCACAGTTACATATCCCCAATCCCCAACATTTGAACTGCCTGTAGCATCTTTCGAGCCCCCAAAGCCACAAATTGGAGCCCGGAGCGTGTCGATTCTCATACATCTTAGCGGGCGGCTCGTACAGTTTACTAAGGAACTTTTTTTTCTTAGGAACATATCGATAAAATATTTACGCAATCATACAGTTGCTAGGAAGAGAAGGAGAGATGATAGAGCAAAACATAGACAGAATAAGCTGACTTCTCGTCATATCAACGGGGCCCGCTCTAGATCGTCCGAGGAGGCATCCGGTGCTGAAGATAGCCGCCATGCTGCAGCAAATCGCCGTAAAACATAATATCCTAACTATCTGTCAATTCAATTACCTGATAGTTACAACTTCTTATTGATAATAATATTGAGTTCAATCGACATCCGCTGAACCAACTTCTACCTAGTCGAGCATCCACGCGGGGAGGGGGGTGATCCGAGCCAGCTTGTTAAGTCGAGTCGATGCTTGGAGGTTAAAATTTGCGCAATCCGCACGCAACCTTACTTCCGGGGATAAGTATCGTACATTCCGCTCGATCTAAGCATCTGTCACTGGTCTCTTTGTTTTGGGATCGAGGAAGGGTAACGCCAAACAGGTCAAGGCATCCGTCCCCAAATCGAAGCTGGCAACCAAGTTGTGCAACTTGGTTGACAGCATGTAAACTCCTACGATTGGCTAAAATTGGTCGAAGGTGCTCTAAATCTACGAAATTTCAGAGCTTTGTTATTTCCTCTCAACTGCGTCAGCGCATTCTTTGGTCACTAATCACATTGTTTTGCTAAAGCCCACCTCCGTTGCCATTCTCCAATATGCTAATCAGCACGTTCGTCCGGCGCTTCCAGTCAGGCAAGTTTTGGCTCGTTGACAATTTCCGGTGCAAAGAACATGCACAAAGGTGTCAACGTATCTTTGACGCTAAGTTCATTTCTTTTCAGATAAACGCGTCTTCGCTGTGGCATTCCACAGCTTGACACTCCACACTTTCACTTGGTAGGTGATGATGGTCTATTCTGCAATCTTCCCTGGCAGACAGCAACGCCGCTCGCCCGCCTTCGTTTTGCTGGTGGCGCTCCCTGTGGTGCTCAGTCTCAGCCTCGTTTCGTATTTGTACCTGTACCAACTGCCGTCAATGGCGGGCAGCTCGCCTGATCAAGTCACACAGCAACACGCCGCTATGGAGAAACACGTAGACATCACCATCGTCGGTGCGGGACTAGCTGGTGCGTTAACCATCTTCAACTTTAGGAGTAAACTACGGAAAGGTGATGGCTAGCTCGAAAACGTCGTAGGTCTCACCGCCAGTCTGGAGGCCGCTAATTTGGACCCGTCGCTCAAGATTCTGCTCGTGGAGAAGGAGAAGAAGGTTGGAGGCAACTCTGCCAAAGCCTCATCCGGCATCAACGCGGCGCTAGACGCCGCCGACGAGCCATTATTCACACAAGACACGCTGAAATCGGGTGGCGGTCTCGCGGTCGAGAAAATCGTCGACACTTTCATCCCCAAGGTGTGTCGGCTGGCGTGAATATGGTGTAGACACTAACATTTGAGCTAACTTTCTGGATTCGCTTGATATAATCACTGATTGATGCTGCTATAGACTCCAGACGCCAAGGAGTTCCTGGAGAAGTACAACGTGGATCTGTCGGTGCTATCGCAACTCGGCGGTCACTCAGCCAAGCGCACGCATCGCAACAAGAGCGGACCTAACATTGGGTTCGCAATTATCAGTACACTGCAGAAGGAGATCGTTACCAGAGATAACATTGAGATCCTCACCGGAGCTGTAGCCAAGAAGCTTCTACTAGCGGACGAGATGCAGATTCCTCCGACTGTGACAGGGGTCGAAGTCGATCTGGCCGATGGACAGACGCTTTCAATCTATAGTAAAGCAGTGATCCTGACTACTGGAGGCTTCTCGGCCAGCCACAAGATGCTCAAGCGGTTTGCTCCTGGTATGGAGATGTACCCGACAACCAATGGTGTTTGGGCTCAGGGTGAAGGCGTCCTGATGTCCGAAGCTATTGGTGTGGACCTCACACTTATGGACAAGGTACAGCTGCATCCAACCGGTTTCATCAACCCGAAGGATCGTGAGGCCGGTACTCGCTTTCTCGCCCCAGAAGCCATCCGTGGCTCTGGAGCTGTGCTGTTGAATACGAACGGCAAGCGCTTCGTGGATGAGTTGACCACGCGTGACAAGGCTTCGACTGCTATACTAGGCCAACCAGGTCAGGAAGCCTACATGTTGTTATTCGAGGACGGTGCGAACGCCATGGCTTCGGAACTGCCCTTTTACAAGCACATGGGTATCGTTACGATGACGAATTCGGTCGAGGAAGCTGCTAAGTTTTGCCACTTTGAAGACCCGCAGGCTCTACTGAACGAGCTGAACGAATATGCCGGTATTGCCAGTGGAAACAAGGAGGATCCGTTTGGCAAGAAGACGTTCCCGTACCCCATTCAGCAAATTCCCAGTATCGACACACCGATGCAGATTGTGGCGATGGAAGTGGCGCCTACGGTTCACTACACAATGGGTATGTATGCGTGTATTTTATCGACGACTTTTCTTTGTTTCTAACCCTTCTGTGTTGGTTGGTGTAGGTGGTGTCAAGATTACCGAGAACTCGGAAGTGATCCACAAGAACGGCGAGACTGTACCGGGTCTGTTTGCGGCTGGAGAGATGTCCGGTGGCCTACATGGCGCCAACCGTTTGGGTGGCAATTCACTCGCGGAATGTGTCGTGTTCGGCCGCGTTTCGGCCCAGCAGGCCATCAAAACGCTGCATGAGTAACTAGTTCTTTGCATGTTAATACTGTCTTGAATGATACATGTAGTAGTCGTTTCTTGATTTGTGGAAACGTCGCGACCTTGGAAAAATGGGTTTTCGTTATTTGAAACGTGTGGTATTGTGCAGGAATGGATTCTGCTGGTGCATTCGACAGCGGTGACAGTGAGTCTTGGTCTTCCTCGGATGGAGAGGAGCAGGTGATTGAGATTTCTTCACACAGTCGCATTCTCATTTCTCCACGGAAAACTTGCCGCTCAGCATGGAACAACAAATCACGGAGTAGCAAAAGAGGCGTGAAGAAAAAGGATGCTCGACCACAGTTGCAGGAAGATGAATTAAAGAGTCCTGTTTCTCAAACAAGTCGCCATTCCATTCGAGATTTAAAATCTAGGAAATCATTGGTTGGAAATCCACGCAAGACGCCAGCGAATAACCAACCAGTGACGAGGTCTAACAACTCTGATTGCTCGGGAAGTGAAAGTGATGAAGATCTCACTTCCAGTCGAGGTGACAGTGATTCTAGCGGTGGTAGTGATGAATCGTTTGAATCTGGCAAGGGAGCTCCAGAATTTCGACCAGTTTCAAGAAACCGGGAAGCTATGGAACCCACACCAAAGCTGTATAAACATCTAACAACGTCTTTGGATGATTCAATGCAGTCACTTGGGTCACCGACAACCTCAGGCAAGGAAATGGAGGAGCTGAAGAATACGCTGAAGAAGCTCGCTCGACACGATGACAGCGATGACCCCGTTATGCAGAAACAGCCCAACATTTCATCAGCAACAGCATTGCATGAATATCTTACTGCAGCGACTGCATTATCTGGAGTGAATGCAGCTAAAGCCTCAAACCAGACTCGTCAGACAGAAACCGCACGAATGAAGACCAGGCAACCCTCTATTCATTTACCCCGATCAAGTTCCAGCGGATGGACGAGGAATAAGTCGGGGTCTAAATCGATGCGAGAAGCTGATACTGATGTCAAGGTGAAGGATGATTCTGAGCTTAATGGTGCAGGGCCTAGAAGCGAACGTTTTAGTTTCGACCGAAAAATATTTAGCACCCCACCTCCACCGTTTGGAATACCGGGAGCGTATGCAGGATTGCCACTTCCTCTGAAAAGCAACATTACAAGCAGCGGTGGTGGAGCACAAGGATCTCGAGCAGTATTATCAGCCCTCAAGGCATTGCAAGACAAAATCGGTCGACTGGAAGAAGAGCGTGAAAGTTTATTGCAGCAGCTCTCAGATGCCAAAGTAACAGCTCGAAAGAGAGAGGCTGAGTTGGCTGCAACGGAGAAGAAATTCTCGTACGAGCTGGGCCAAACTAAGGAATCTGCAAGAGCAGCATACGATTCACTACGTTGTGACCGTGAAGAACTGAAATTACAACTGGTTAGATCCGAAGAGCGCAGGGAGGCGACTCAAAACGAGTTGCAGCATTTCCAAGAGCTCGCAAAAAAAATATCCGCAAAAGCAGACGAGTTACAGTCCCAACTACAGATCTCGGAGTCGCATCGAACACGTCTAAAAGCTGGTAAAACTCCTATCATGTATCAAGAAAAAAATGCTTAAGTACTCATACACTTGCCCTTCTTTGTAGAGATGAAAGAGTCCGAGAGCAACCATAATCGTGTCGTGGACGAGCTCCAAGCAGAGCTGTCTCAACTCCGTCAGGATCACAAAGCCACAGTCGAGCGGACCGAGCTGTTAGAAGCTCAGCTTCAGCGTGAATCTACTAATTATGCCGAGAGTAGAGAGCGACTGAAAGACGCCGAGGTATACAACACTCCGTTTAACCGACTAGAGCTCACAGACTGACGTTAAATGTTTCTTCGTGTTGTAGCAAACGGTGGCATCGGTCTCGCAGCTGAACGAAAAGTTGGTAGCCAAGGTTATGGAGGCAACGGAAGCTGCCAACCAGGCCATGAAGAAGAACAAAAAGCTCCAACAACAGATACGACCGTCAACACTGCTTCGACCCACAGCTGCGAGTCGTGCCAGTGCAGCAGCAGCCAGTGAGGCGACGGCAAGAAGAGCATCCAATTCCAAGGGCGATACTGGAGTCTCACCGGCCAAAACGCTGAAGAAAAAGAAGACATCGACTACAACGGCCTCCTCGACTAACAAGAAACCAAAGAAAGCGAAGAGCGTCAACAACATGACCCTGCTGCGAGAGGCTAACCTCGGCAAGTACGTCAGCCTTCTGTCTCCGCATCTAAATGCTCACGACTGACTTTCTTCATGAACTGTCTAGGGACATCCCTTTCTTGCTTGGTAACTCAGTCCAGCCGTCATTTTCCTTGATTGGAAGCATCCAAGATGCGCTCCGACGATGCGATACAACGTACACCATGCCGACACTTCTGACCGGCGCATCGGCGACTCCAGGATCTACTTCCGGCCACCAGCAAACGCCAAAACTGACCCACAATTCTGAATCTTCTCATAAAGAGGACAATAACCCAGCAGCAGAGCTGTCAGCACCAGATTCTCCTTCACCAGCGACACCGACCAACCAAACTGTTACCGGAGCTGTCCCAGTGCCATCGACCCCCATGTCAACGACAGGTAGCGAGCATCATAGTACCACAATGAAGCCTCCAGCTATCAAAGTGTCCACAGCTTCACCGAAAACGTACACGAGCCCCATGCAGGTACGTCAGTGATTTCTTGTTACCCATACCTCCAAGCTATTTTATCAGCTGTTGATCTTATCTTGGTGTTTCGTGCTATTCCATGCAGTCTCAGATAATGGAGGATCTTCATGCTGCTGTTGCATGTGCCGAGAAGGAATTCAAAAGTCTCAACAAACGGTATAAAGATCTGGTCACTCAGATGGAGACAATCAATCGTCGCGGGGTCGCTGGATCCGAAGATGGCAAAGCCAATAGTTCGTCGTCAGCGCAATTATCACAAGCTCTGGGGCCACTGCTAGACGAGCTGGAAGCAAAAGCGAAGCAACTGAACTTGCTCAAACAGGTTTACCAGCAAGCCGCTAACAGTACCATTAACCCACAAAGACATGTAGTCGTCAGTCCAGCGGCTATTCGTCGCAAAACGGCGTCCTTGCGAGTGCTCAACGAGTATCGACAGCTTGAGAGCGACTGCAAGAACAAAGGAAGTGGTTGGTCAGCCTCTTAGGTGCTAAAACTACTACTGCGATGTATGCAGACCAATCAAATCTAGAATAGAGTTAATAAAACTAGTCCGAGTCTGCAAAATTCCTGCGTCTCTTCTTGCCCGACGCTGCAGAGCTCGAATTCAGGTTTTCTCGCTGGAATTTTTGCAGCAAATTGGTCTACAATAACATCACAGGCAAATGTCAGACAAATCGTAACATCAGCGTATTACATTTAAATAAATATGACGGGATTGCTACCAGATTGGGCTGTTTTCGGGCAAGGAGCGTCACGTCCTCCGTTTTGATGATCTTGCGGTTGGCGTGACGTGCAAAAAACTGCAGCTCTGTGGCCATCACTGCAAAAAAAATAAGAACTAAGGGTTTTTTCTAGCAGTTAAAAGCCGTAGTACTGTTTGGAGCAACCTTCGGACTGTTTGTAGACAAGGTCGGCAAGCAATGCCATGGCCTCCTTAGACATGGGAGGTCTAGCACGCACATGGTGCTCGTGCTGCTGCTTCTGAGCTGCAGCAGGGACGGTCTCGTGAGCACGAGAGCTAGATAACAGTTGGGAATATATTAGACCTTCTTCGTCACAAATGCGGCCGACAGTGTACAGGATGCTCTGGCGTACGCGCAGCTCCTCGCTCTCAAGACCTCCACCCAGGTTCATTATCAAATGCGAGAATGGCGACTTTCGATTGGTAGATACTGGTAGTTAGTTTTGTGTATGACACCCGAAATGGCCACTTCAACTTCGAGAAGTTTGGTTCATTGCGTTCATGATCCATGAACCATGAGATTATTGTCTGCGTTAGGAATTGATAAAGCGGTTGAATAAGTACACCACACGCTCCGCGATTGATGCCGCCGTTTCTTCTTGCTATACGGTGGCAGGTAGAATTCGCAGGAGCAACGACACAATCAACTGAGTTGTTGGTTACAATTAAACTGTAGAACGATGCACACGGCGTCAGTCACATGAGCTATTTCGTTTTATACAATGTTCAGCTTGCGCACCGATGACGAGCGTCGGAAGGTGTGACACACTACTGCACATTGTGCACGATCGACAGCGCGGAAGAAAGAAGCTCACTCGGAAGGTGTCTGCTACCGTAGCCGCTGCACATTAGTTACCGACTTGGGCCCTTACAGGCGAAAAGCTTTG